TGTTCAGGGACATTCCTCGCAGGGCCTTGTTTCTCATCAGGCTATCAGATGTCATCCTCGAAAACATCCTCAAAGGGCATGTAATTTACAATTATGGGGCCAGGATTGGGGCCACTTAAATTCTCAGAGCATAATCGCCTGATTTACAGAAGCGGAATGATCCTCAAGGTGGCTGGACTTTCAGTTCAAGATGGACTGGTCACAGACGATAGTGTGGCGAAGGCCTGGGGAGGGGGTCAATTGTGGGGGAAGGGGACATCTGTAATGCTTTCAACAATAAAGATAAATTTAAAAAATATATAATGTTATGTCAATTATACCTCAATTAAAAAAGAACAGTATCCATTAGGATGCAGTCAAGTGAATTTATCCATCTCTCTAAACTTTCTCATTTTTTATTTATTTAAAGACTGGGTTTTGCAAGGGGAATTTTCTAATAACTCTAAATGGTGCTTTATAAAATTAGCACTTACCACGTTGAAGTATTCTATAGTACACGGCACTGTCACATTATAACCAATTTCTTCCCCACAACAAGATGCTGAGGCAGGCCGTGGTGTGTCCCCTTGATCACAGCCTGGTGAAAGGGCCATTGTTCAGGGCAAATTCAAGACCACAACCATGCAGCTTCCTTAAATGTTCATTTACAAAGGCTGTCTTGTTTCCCAAGTTGCTCTCCCTCCATACGTTACTTCAACAGGCATTGCCAAGGTACTGATGTGTTTTTAATTTAAAGATAAACAACTCTCCCTCTGCAAGCAAATAAGTGCTTGACACCGTTTTCTCAGCCTTCTTCTGCGGTGGCAGTAATGCTGTTTCACGCAGGCACAGTCTTTGCTCCTGCCTCATCTTAAGGTGAGAGGTCATTAGGGGCTTGTTTTTCCCATAGTTTTATATGATTTTTAAATAGTCATAACGTGCCCCATATTGAGAGAAACATAGACCATCTCGACATTCACTGTCTGGACTGATAGGATTTTTTGTTTTTGTTTGTTTTTTTAAAGTGACAGAGTTTGCTAAACACTTAAGAAGGAGTTCTTTTAGATTTTATTTTATTTTTAAAATCTTCACCCGAAGACATGCTTAGAGGAAGGGAGAAAGAGAGGGGGACATCGAGTGGTTGCCTTCCATACACTCCCCCGCTGGGGCTCAAACCCGAAACCCAGGTAAGTGTCCTGACGAAGGGGAATAGAGCTGGCGGCCTTTTGGGGCACTGGACAACACTCAACTAACTAAGCCACTCCAGCCAGGCAGCATTTCTTGTTTTAAAACTCTTTACAAGGTATTATTATTATTCACCGTTCTTTATACCAAGGCATTTTTTATTTCTAATCTGGATTGCTACTTGTGGAGAAAGAACAGCTATAATAAGAGTGTATTGCCCTTCTGTTAGAAACTCATTTAGGTGACTTGCATTAGGTTAGGAAGCCAACACGTGAATTATATTTTGACTACGGCTATATTATAGGTACTAGAAACATTTTGTGAAAGTAATCAGATTTGTGAAATGATCGTATCTTTAGACCATTTTCATAGCTCTCTGAGAAAGACTCGTCTTTAGCAAAAGGTTTAAAAACTAATCAGCAGCAAGGTTCACAACAGAAGACTTCAATCTGTCTGATTCATTCCCCAGAGGAATTTATATGATGAGCTCATTCACCCTCATGGAAAAAGTGAAACCGGAGGGGAGACTTGAGGCAGCTAGTTAAGTATTGGATTATGAATACGCAGCACCTTGCTCCCAAATACCAAGAGCAGTTTCTTATCAGCCCTCACGCGTAGGTCAAAACAGGGCTACTCAGTACATTAGGAAAAAACCGACTGGGGAGGGGTTTGGGATATGGGCTCCTAAAAGTCATTAGAATTCTGTTCAGAATTCAAAGAAGAGCTGGAGGAAAAACTAATCAAATAAAAGGAATGGTTTATAAAAAGGATATATGAAAGAATATGCTGCATGGAAAATGATTTAGACAATATTGGGACTTACTCTTTACCTGCCAGTCCAGCTTGCATCTTACCTTCCGGGCACACCTGCCTGCCCATGGCCTGCCCACCCTGCAAAGTACGTGAGCCTGTGCTCGCTCCTGCTGGGCCTCTCTTCCCCCAAACACCTGCTCCTTCCGGCCACTTCCCTATCTTCCTTCCCATCCTTGCTTAAATGTTATCTTCAAAGAGAGAATTCCTTACTTTTTAATGCACCAGAAATGATGCTTTATAACTTTCTAAATTCTTTTTCTTTTTTGCTTTTATTTTTCAATTACAGTTTACTTTTGATATTATTCTGTATTGGTTTCAGGCATACAGCATAGCAAGCGCCCTGTTGTTTAAAATGACTGTCCTATTGAAATGACCAATCTACAGTTACCATAGTTTCAAATATCACCTGATTAAAACCCCAGCCCCAGCCCTGCACCCTTGGGAACTCGGGATCCCCGAGTCTGCTTTATTTTTTCTTATAGCCAGTGGGACAGCTGTAGCTCTATTGCTGGTTCCTCACCGCTGGATGTATTTCCAGGAAGGTGGAGGTGTTTCCCTCTTCTCTGTTCCTGGCCACACACACCCCTCCCCAGTCCTCACTGCGTTGGCCCTGACGTCTAGAACAGTGCCTGGCAAATTGGGGGCACTCAATAAATATTTGTTGCAAAACTATGACTGAATCCTGTTTGAGAAATTGATTGGGTGGACTTTAGAATAACAGTGCTAACTTAAATTTAATGAAGTAAATATTCAAATATTTAAGTTATATAATTTATTGATTTTTGCAAAGACACATGCCCATCAAAACCTCACTGTTACCAACACATTGAACATTACGAAACCAACCATGGATGCTTAGGATAAATCCTAATTTTTCATATTTCTACTACATTTTAGACATGTAAGTATACACTCTAATAAAAACAAAGCAATTAAATATGATAATTTAAATCTTTATTGCAGCCTTAATATTTCTAATCACAAAATAAGGGAAGGAAAGGAAGAGAATTATAATGATATTAGTTGAGGGAACTTTCAGTTACTGGTGAATTGGATCCCTACTTTTATATTGATAAAGATGATATAATAATTAGCCAGTCTGAGGAGAGTTAAGGATTTTTGAGGTGAAGAAATATGAAAGAATTTTATAAGTATGTGTTCTTAATTTCATAATGCTTCTATTTTTTCAAATTTAGAGTGAAAACATAATGGATTACTTTTGCCTTTGATTTGGACCTAGCGAAAATTAGCAGAAAATTTCAGGGAGCTATCTAAATATTTATTTACTGATAAAATCAATTGATTATTAATTATATTATCGTGAACAATCAAATAAAAACTAGTTATTATTTATGCATAATAATTTTAATTTTAAGAGAAATAAAAATAAAACTTCATAAACTATAACATTCGTTTCTTTATTGTAAGACATATAAGCAATTATTCAAAAGATATACTATATCAATAGTTTAAATATTTCTTAATGATAAATTGTAACATTATATGTAATCAAAGCAAAACCAAATTTCTTTTCATTTTCCACCTTCATGTACTCACTTCAAGGCCCACCTCAGACCTTCTTACCCAATATATTAATTAGTATAATTTTAAGTACAATTGTTTAGACTCCAACTGAAGTAGTGTCTTTCCTATGTGGTACTACTTTTAGACCAATACATTTTTCCACTGTAATCATTTGTTCTGTGACTCAGAAATATTTATTTAAAAAAAATTTCAAATGATAAAAACTGAAATAATAAGGATATAGAAAATAATCCATATGTGACAAATAAATGCTGCTGCTGCTACTACTAAAAAGATCCTTTTGTGTTTGAAGAGTTCAGATCTTTTTAGGCTTCCGAACATGTTCATTCTGAACTCAGGAGATTCCAAAGTGAACCCCAAGACCCCATGAGCAGATCCTATCTGTCTTATGTTCAACTGCACTTCCATCTTCAAAATTGAAGAGAGTTAAACCAAAATCCAACCCAACAGTGTCCTTCCATTTTTGACTTTAGGATACATCATTCTAACGGAAACCATCCAGATGGTTAGCTCAGTTAGATGCGTTCATTCACAAACCTCATATTTATTTCAACCCAGTGCGATGACTGAGAGAGAAGAGGGACCTACATGATCTCGGAGTGAAAGGTGAGTTCCCCGACTGCACAGTGATGTGACGTTTCAAGGGTTACAGAACTTTGAAGAATTTATGAATACATTATGTCACCTCATATGTTCATACCTTTAAATATTTCCTAGATAATACTGATATTTCACATTCCACACTGAAAGGCTTTAAGCATCTTTCCTGAGAAAAGGTTTATAGTTATACACCAAAGAGGGTGATCAAAAGGCTTAAAGTAATTCACCCTTTAGGGTGACTAAGGTCTCCCATTATTCCTGATGTCAGTATGTTGCACGTCTACAAGTTAGAGTTAGGTTTCGATCACAAACTCCAGCCGTAGTGAATGCACCATCCACAGTTAAGCACGCCTTCACGCAAGCACTAGACACCATTCTAATTCATGAACGTGGATTCTTCCTGGCTGCCCAACAGCCACTGTTCCTTTGAACTCATAATACAGACATCTTTATGGAGGTATGAGCTAACAGCACTGTGTTCTAGTGCCCCACCCAATATTTTACTTAAATAACATAATGAATATTGAAAAGAAAATTAGCTACAGAAGCAGAGTCACAAAGCACATTCCCTTGTACTTATGTGTGGGTTACCTTTAGCAACCAATTTTCAATCCCAACTGAAGAAACCTGGCTTCCTCAGGTGAGGTGAGGCAGCCAAGATTCTCAGTTTGGAGAATTAGCTAAAAAGAGTCTTCCCCTGCCCATAGATTCAGCAGCAAATAACTGTCCCACTAACGATGAGTCAGAAGATGAACTTATATCATGGTAAGATATTTTTTATTATCCAAAAGTCAACTTGAAAATATAACATTTATTCACACACATATACACACTTTCTTCTGCTTACATAAATAAGAATGACTATCAAAAGTTAAACTTGACAACCTTAAATCATTCCCTTCAGCAAAAATCTGGAGAAAAGATTGATTTTTTTTTTTAAACTTTAAAGCAGAATTCATCTTCCATCGTGGGAAAGCTCCTGGTTTCTTTACCCATTAAGTAAGTTTTGAAGGAAGAGTTCTTTCCCTCCAATATCTATCTGTTTGATTTTGTGGAATATCATCTTCTTGCAAAGCTACTGATGTATAATGAATTCCATTAAATATTGGCATTGAGCCATTTTAACATGCAAGTTTAGACTGTGTTTCAAAGAATAAATAAGACCCATGTAGTGATCTTTCTCATTCAGATCTTCAGCCAGCCAGCTCATTTCCGTAACCTAACCAACATGAAATAGGGGGTACAGTCTTCAGTCTTCAATTCACTGTAGAAAAGACCACACAATCATCAAGATCAAGCACATTAACCTGTAATGATATAACTGCTGTCCTGCCACCATTACCATCTCCACTGCCCTATACGCCAGCATCAGAACTAATTGCTTTAATCTAAGAAATGGCAGTTAATTGATGGATTGTAATTCCTCATGAGACACAGGAGAATCACATTGTGGAAGCATTAAACTTATGTAGTGGTGGGGGGGAGGGGGCAGTGAGAGTTAGAGCCTATGTCTGCAACTCCACTCAGTGAAGATATGCACCAGAGTGACCTGGAGATGGGAAACACATCCATTCTACCTCAGGACATTTCAATTCTATGGTTTTCTCAAAGCCTGACCTTCTGTCCTCATTGTGTGTTTTGTTGTTGTTGTCACTAATGACCTCTAATTTCCACTTCTAATGTTCAACCCATGAAGCATCTATATGTTCTAATGCCCAAGGGGGAAAAACCCAAAAGTTGTTTTTTGGTACTTACTGAGAGGTAGTATGGAAATATATAGGGTGTCCCCCCCTCCAAAAAATGTATACACAGTTTAACAACGGATAGCTCAATTTTGAAAATGAAATGTATTTTAATAAACACTGCCTTTATAATTATTCAAAGTGTGTATATAATTGCTTTGTATAAATGGGGACACCCTATATTTTATGAGTGATTTAAGAGATTTGCCTAGATTAATATTTAAATGTATGTTTTTTTCCCCCCTAGGGTTGTAATTCCACTGTATGGTGAATCCAGACTTACCAAACCATTCTACTACTTACAATTAATCATATTTCATTTTGCAAACATGAGATCTACCATTGAGATAGGGTATGTGGGGAAATAGTTGTAACTGGTAAGAGCTACAAGGACAATCACGGAGACAGTAAGACCAACCCTCAATGAATTGATGGCTGAGAACCTGCAGAAAAACAGCTGGATCCAACATGGAGACTAATTTCACCTTGCAGTAACCCCTAGCTTCATTGTGTGCTTATTGTAACACATTAGCATTCTAAAGGACACACCGGGGGCTGCCACGATTGGACAAAGAAAAGCGATATAAGAACACCTGGCCGAAGGGGATCTTCTGAGAATGTTCCTGAATATTCCTCTCCCTTATTGAATTCCCTATCCCTCAATTAACTGAGTCAATAAAAGAAGTAAATTGCACTAGGGAGGGGCTGCTCTGCCTATGGAGTAACATTCTCTCTGTTCCACTGCTTCACTAATAAACTCTCTTTCATTTTAAACTCTCTTCTGGCTCAAATTTGAATCCTTTCCTGCATGAAGCCAACAGTCCATAGCGGGCCCTGGGCCCTCGGGTTTCCAAAATCCTGGAACTCCTGCATTACCATCATATCATTAACTCAGCAATTTCTATCAAAAATCACAAAACAAAGGGCATATACAGTCCAGTCTCCCTATCTCATTTAGTAAATATTCCCATGTGACCTTTCCCAAGTCAGAAAAGAAAATAAATCTTTAAAACTGAAAGACCTTGGTCAGCTGAGTCCAGCTGACCTGAGTGGCTCAGACGTTGAGCGTTGACCTATGAACCAGGAGGTCAGCATTCGATTCAGGCTTGATCCCCAGGAGGGGGTGTGCAGGAGGCAGCCCATCGACTCTTAGCACTGATGTTACTATCTCTTTCTTCCTCTCTCTGAAATCACATTTAAAGAACCAAAAAACCAAAACTAAAAACCTTCAACTATTAATTAACTGCAGTTGCTGTAGAATTGGCCATAGAAGTCATTGTCTCCAACAGCTTTCACATCTGGTATCTCCATTCTCATTACTGGAGTAGTTTCACTAAGGACACGACCAATTTCTGGCTGGCTCCATTCCTTCAGGGTCAAAACAGTGGATGTTGGCCACAATGCCTCGCCACCCTGAGGGGAATGGTATCTGGTGTGGATGGAAAAGGGGCCGCATACTAAACCTGCCAAGCTCAGGGGAGGCCTACGTGGCAGGACTTACAAATTCAGAGACCTAAAGTAGCCACATAGGATGGTCTGAAATTAAAATTTCTTAACCAAAAGCAAGGCATGGCAGTTAGTCATTTCTTAGGCCAGTATCTTCCTTGACAAAGATCAGTCTTTACCTTAACCGAGTCTATCTATTGTCTTCTTGCATCCACAGTAACAAACCCTTGGACTGTCAGAGCATCCCCTTCATCCAGACCCCTCAGGGCACAATCTCCCACCAGAGCACAAGACCCTGGAGCCCCTCCTTACTATCTTGTTCCCCAATACCAGCTCTATGTACTCTAAAGGTTAATTGTTAACTACCCTGTACCCACCAATGTAAAAGGATTGTTTCTGTTTCATTCTTCATCCAGTCTCAGAGATTTTCCCACTTTGCTTTTGCCCATCTCGCTAACCTACTACCACTGGATTTCATGTAACCCCCCCTAAATCTCCTCCTTTGATTCTAATGTATAAAATAAGCTGCAAAACTGCCATTCTCTGCAACATTTTCCCAATCCATTGAGATTTTTGCTTTCCAACAATTGTCATCAGTTTGGCTCAAATAAACTCATAAAAATTCTCTAAGGTTCGGAGGTTTCTTACGTCTACCCTGGTAAGGGAGCAAAAACTTCACCATCCTCTCCTCCCTCAGAAAGACATGTTTGCCTTTCTGTCCAAACTCTTCACCTGCCCCCTCTGAAGTGACTGCAGTAAAACTCACTATCAGGGACTAATTCAGACAGGCGAGGGGGTGTCCATTAGAGCTGAAAGTCTGTTATATAATAAAGTATGTTTTCCAAATGCGTATGTTAAAAAATTGACCAATTAGTTAGCTTACCTGTTTTTACTTATGTAGACACGCTTGTGTAATACAATTAAGTATGTATGAAAAGCTTAATTTCACAGAAAAGTTTTTTATATGTATTACTGTAATTTTTAAAATTTATACTGAATAGGTCTAGTAAATGCGTGCATTCACGGGTCACCAAGAGTAAACAAATGCGCACAGCTGGGGCCTGGCTTAGTGCCCTTGGGAACACGGGCCAGCCCTCTTTAAATCTGCTGCAGAAAGTCAAGCCATGTGACCACAGAACCAGTCACCACTCCTTGCTGTGTGATCACGTGCTAATCATTCCCCGAACATTGTTTGCGCTGGGTGACCTGGATTTAAATACGTAGACAATAGTTGTAGATACGTAATATTTATTTATGTTGGCAAAATTACTACAGTGTTTTTTCTAATATATGGCCTATTCACTAAACCTTGCTAAAAATAACAGTGAATTAATAACCAAAAAAATAACATGTTAATTTAATAAGCAAATCTTGGTTAAAAGCATCTTTAAATTAATAGGGTGTTAATTTTCACATATGGACTGGAAATTTTATCCATTAAATCCAAAGCCCTTAAATCAAAGTTTCCAAAATCGAGGGTTTACTGTACTTCTCTCTCCTTCTGAAATGTGGGCATTTCACTGCTGGGGCTCCTTTCTTTTCTTTATTAGAAGTTACAGGGCTAGTGGCCAAAAAGTTGAGACCATTTCATCTGGGTGCTCAAGGATTTTAGAAGACTTGGTTCGTATTGGTTTCCTCTCTGGGCTGTAATTACACATATCATTAGAGAGTGAAGCACTTATTGTAGGGAATTCTGAAGAGGGAGATACATTAGCCTGAATTCCTAGCCTGACGCTAATCACAGGGGCGATTCTCCAGCTCACGCAAGAGCCAGAGAGTTTCAGAAAATGGGCTTCTGCCCTGGGGGTAGCACACTGGGAAATTCAAAAACTGCTACAACAGGAAGTTTTTAATCACTTTTTAAATGATTTGTGTAATTACAGACTATGTTTTCTTTTAAGGGATAATTTCATAGAGTATTATGGAAATATGATTTGAGCCCAGAAGTTTTTTTTTTACAACTTGTCACTTTGGATTCTGTTAGCACTAAAAATCGACTTTGAAGATTTCAGCAATCATTTCCATTGCTTCAGTGAGTCGTTCTCGGTGTTTGATTGGGTCATTATTAGGTATTGATAGAAGACACTCGTTAGCAATGCAGGAAATAAAGTAAAATACTAGGAACTATTCCGACCTCTTTGATTTGAGGTACAGACATGGACATTTAAATGAATATAAGCAATTTATGATTAAAATACTCATCGATAGCACAGAACATGTGAGCAGTGGAGAAACAAGGACAAGAGAGGGGATGATCTGTTTCGTTTGGAGAAAGTGTTGAAGCCCAGATTGGGCCTGTTTTACAGCAAAGAAGGGATAAGAGATATCTAAATGTATTCATTCATTTATTCAGGAAGCTTTCATGGGTTAGGTCTGAGGATTCAGTGGTGATTAACACAGTTCCTAGCCTTGAAGAACCCAGAGACAGACAGTAAACAAACGATTACATAAGATTAATACACTGGACCCTTCCTCCAGTGGGACGAGTGCCAACATTCATGAATGCTGACAAAGAGCGGTTGTGAAGGAAGGTGAGGGGAGGAGAGAGACCTTACCTTGTAGCGACGGCCTTAGATACCATTGTCCTAGGAGTTTCAGACCAAAGTGCCACCTTGGTTTTTAGTTCTTTATTCTAAAGTTGAAAAAAATGTGCAGAGATCACATAGCTAACACATTTATCAGCCACATGCTTCATGCTTCTGATCCACCTACATCACTCCTTGCCCGTAAGCTTGTTGTTCCTGCTGCTCTATCAGAACACAGAATGTAGCCAGTTGAGAGTCACTATTGTCTCTGAAATTACACACTCACTAGCTGTGTGACCTCATTCAGTTACTTAACCTCTCTGTGCCTCACTCCTTCATCTATGTAATAGATATAGTCTTAGTCTCTTCACAGGTTCTAAAATGAGCTAAAAATATGTCAAAAACTCAGCTCAGTGCCTGGCACAGCTTTTTAAGACTTAAAGGCAGTTAGTTTTAAACTATGTTTAGTAGTTGCCACCAATGGTATGTTTGCATGATTTTCTTATTTTATTTGTTTATCCATATTTCCTAATTTGTATAGAATGAATGAATAGGTTAGCTATGTAAAAATAATATATGAAAAATATTTTATCAAGTAACATTTGCCAAAAGGCCACTAAGTAAGAAAAGCTGTGAGGAAATGCCTTTGAAGACATTTCTTAGCAGAAAGAGGCTCTCATGTGCCACGGATCACATCGTCTGAGGCCCCCAGAGGTACACTGGCCAGCCCTCACTGGGCACTTGAGTGGACACTAATTCTGAGCGAATTATTCCACAGCCCCCACGTTTTCAGCTGTTCAGAGCTGTAAGCATTGTCTTTATCAAATGAACAGTCCGCATGAGACCTACAGAAGGTGAGAGTCTAAGGAAAGCCTGAGGCTTGTAGAGTTCACCCTGCGGATAAAGAGAATGGTGGTTCTCCCGGAAGGTGGAAATGGCAGAACAGGGCAATGGCTACAAATCTCAAGATGTAAAAATACTGACAGCCTCTTTCTGTTACTATGATTTTTTTCTTCTGTTGTGGGGAAGCAGAAAGAACATGGCAGTGAGAGGAATGGCTTGGTGGCTGGGAGTGTGATCATGTGGCTCCTCTCTCGTCTGCCAGGGGAGGGGCGAAGCTCCAAACGATGATGAGGTTTGCAGTGGGAGTCAGAGCCTCTCTGCAGCCACAGGACAGGACAGGACAGGACAGGACAGGACAGGACAGGACAGGACAGGACGGGACAGGACGGGACAGCAAGGAGGCACACAGCAAGCAGGAAGTCAAAATACTGGGGGCTGAAGTAGAAAAGGCGACAGGTCTGGGCAGCCAATGACCAGCCACTTGACAAAGACAGAAGGGGTGGCCCTGAGCAGAAAGTCGAGCTGAGGCAGCTGTGGGGTCCTTGGGGTGCCCAGCCTCAGTGGGGCTTCCTGTAGGCAGGGGCACCCCAGCCCAGCATGGCAGTTGGAAGGCTAAACCAGGCTTTCCTAGCTAAGGGGAAGGGTTGGGCAGGCAGAAAAGCAGGTCTCATTATAGTAAATGATAAAGTCTTATGCTAAGTTCTAAGGCACTGAAAAATAATAAAATGCTAAGAGGCTTCTTGAAGGGAGTGAGCCCTGAGGCAGAGCTTGGAAGCCACATGGAAATGGACAAAGGAGGAGAGGACACCTCAGGGCAGGACAGAAACGAAGCCTGGAGCCAGCAGACGGGCTGTCTCCTAGAGCGGCCTTGACCAGGCTTCTAGTTCCAGTCCACATCACCTGTCTCCCCAACACAGCAACTATTCTGGAAAATTTGCATGGACTTTTAACAATTACTTATTAATATGTAATGTTAATAATTTTATAATATCATCAAATATTTAATACTTGATACTTTAATAATGATTAAGAGCACCTCTCCCCAAGGCTATAATTTTTTATGCATAGAAGAAGCACATGCATACCCACCCACAAAAAGACACTCATATATACACACAGAGAAACACATACACTCACACACGAACACTCAGGCACAGTCACACACAGCTACACACAGACATTTACACACAGGCTCACAGAAACACTGAACACACACACAGTCACATTCACACTGAAATATACAACAGATCCCCTCCTTACCTGGGCTTCAAGTATGTTAACTTTTTCTTTCAGATTTTCAATTCTTTTATCTTGTTCTTTTAAGTTATTTTTTAAGCTTTCCATCTAAGAATTAGGAAACACAATTGGAAAAATCTTGTCAGACAACAGAGAATAGTTACATAAGTCAGAAATTGTGCAGGTTTCTGTGGTCAAATGATATTCATCCAGTAAAACAATTAAATCCCAAAGCATGAGGCGACTCAGCAGGCCAAAGAGAATAGCAGAATGAATTGGCTCCTGGGGACGAGGGCCCGCGGACAGTGCTGTTAACATTCCAGTCCTTGGGAAACCCGTTTACACCAAATTCAGCAGGAGTGCATCTGTGGAAAGCAGCACCGGCCCCCCTTTTATGTCTCAGCCGCATAACGTTTTCATCCTGCGGATGCAGAGGCCAATTGGACAAGGCAGAAGGCCGCTGGCTGGTGCAGGGGAGCAACCTGAGGCAGAGATCTGGCCCACCGGCGGCATGGTGAGGGGGGCCTGCTTTGCTTCAGGAGAAACCACCAGCCAAGAGGCAACGTGGAGCTGGGGGGGTGGATGATTTCAGAACGGTGCAGGGAGAGAGGAAACACGTGGCCTCTGAGGCCAACCCTGCCACTACCAGCTCTGTCGTTTAACCACTGGGGGCCTCAGTTTTCCCATCTGTAAAATGAGAACATGGGTCTGTCTCTAAAGTGCCTCGAGTCCATTCTCCTGGTGAGGTTCCAGCCAAGGGGCACAGAAGCTGCATTTATGTCAGGAAGGTATTTGAGTTGTTTAGAAAGACTCCTTTTGGGGACAAATATTAGGCAGTAAAGAAAATGAATGAAGACCTGATTCTAAGTCTAAAACAGGCCCCCCACCCAGCTCGATACATGTCTTGAAGTAAACAGTTTGAGTGTTTGATCCACCATCCCTCCGGCTGCCACCGCAATGAGCTCTGCTCGCTCGCTTGCCGGGATGTTCCCAGAGCAGAAGGGCCAGGCAACGCCCCTGTCCTAACGCTGCTCCTAAGGAAACGCATATGAAACTGATCAATTAGTCCTTCCTCAAGAAAAGGCTGAGTCCCCAAATCTACAAAGTCTTCTAAAGGACAGTGTACATTATCCAGCTCAGGACCCTTCGAAAAAAATCACTGAACCATCTAAAGCAGCGATTTTCAACCCGTGTGCCCCAAGAATGTTAAAAACGTGAGATACCTGACTATTTAGTCAGGGGCACTGACCTCTTTTCCTTTAGATTGTCAAATAAAAAATGACAACAGCCAACACAATAATAGCTGTCTGGTGTGAATGTATCAAAATTATACCTATTTTTATTTTGTCTGGCAAAAAATATATTTTTTGGTGTGCTGCAGAATTTTAATAATTAGTTTATGTGTGCCATGAGATGAAAAAGGTTGAGCATCGCCGATCTAAAGAGCAGTTAAACACAATTTCCCCAATATCTTCACTGAGGACATTCCAGATGTTGGCATACAGACAACAGCGTGCTGTGTGGGGATAAAAGGTCCGTGGGGAGCAGAATCTCGCTGCTTGGAAAGCCAGGCGAGCCGCCCGTGTTGGGGCTCCTCACTGTAAATCTGCCATCTACCCGAGAAACGGGCTCGATTGACCTGACCTCCTGGATGACTCTGCGCAGGTTCTGGTGTTGGGAGTGGATCACGAACTGCAGGTGAGAGATCTGCTCCTGGAGAAGGGAAATCTCCCCCTGAAGAGCCTGGACACTGGAGATACAAACGGAAAAAGAGAGTCAAGATTCGCTAATGCATCACACAGCTGTTCTTTGTTTTCACAGCTGTGCTGCCAGGTTCTCCTTNCCTGGGCTTCAAGTATGTTAACTTTTTCTTTCAGATTTTCAATTCTTTTATCTTGTTCTTTTAAGTTATTTTTTAAGCTTTCCATCTAAGAATTAGGAAACACAATTGGAAAAATCTTGTCAGACAACAGAGAATAGTTACATAAGTCAGAAATTGTGCAGGTTTCTGTGGTCAAATGATATTCATCCAGTAAAACAATTAAATCCCAAAGCATGAGGCGACTCAGCAGGCCAAAGAGAATAGCAGAATGAATTGGCTCCTGGGGACGAGGGCCCGCGGACAGTGCTGTTAACATTCCAGTCCTTGGGAAACCCGTTTACACCAAATTCAGCAGGAGTGCATCTGTGGAAAGCAGCACCGGCCCCCCTTTTATGTCTCAGCCGCATAACGTTTTCATCCTGCGGATGCAGAGGCCAATGGACAAGGCAGAAGGCCGCTGGCTGGTGCAGGGGAGCAACCTGAGGCAGAGATCTGGCCCACCGGCGGCATGGTGAGGGGGGCCTGCTTTGCTTCAGGAGAAACCACCAGCCAAGAGGCAACGTGGAGCTGGGGGGGTGGATGATTTCAGAACGGTGCAGGGAGAGAGGAAACACGTGGCCTCTGAGGCCAACCCTGCCACTACCAGCTCTGTCGTTTAACCACTGGGGGCCTCAGTTTTCCCATCTGTAAAATGAGAACATGGGTCTGTCTCTAAAGTGCCTCGAGTCCATTCTCCTGGTGAGGTTCCAGCCAAGGGGCACAGAAGCTGCATTTATGTCAGGAAGGTATTTGAGTTGTTTAGAAAGACTCCTTTTGGGGACAAATATTAGGCAGTAAAGAAAATGAATGAAGACCTGATTCTAAGTCTAAAACAGGCCCCCCACCCAGCTCGATACATGTCTTGAAGTAAACAGTTTGAGTGTTTGATCCACCATCCCTCCGGCTGCCACCGCAATGAGCTCTGCTCGCTCGCTTGCCGGGATGTTCCCAGAGCAGAAGGGCCAGGCAACGCCCCTGTCCTAACGCTGCTCCTAAGGAAACGCATATGAAACTGATCAATTAGTCCTTCCTCAAGAAAAGGCTGAGTCCCCAAATCTACAAAGTCTTCTAAAGGACAGTGTACATTATCCAGCTCAGGACCCTTCGAAAAAAATCACTGAACCATCTAAAGCAGCGATTTTCAACCCGTGTGCCCCAAGAATGTTAAAAACGTGAGATACCTGACTATTTAGTCAGGGGCACTGACCTCTTTTCCTTTAGATTGTCAAATAAAAAATGACAACAGCCAACACAATAATAGCTGTCTGGTGTGAATGTATCAAAATTATACCTATTTTTATTTTGTCTGGCAAAAAATATATTTTTTGGTGTGCTGCAGAATTTTAATAATTAGTTTATGTGTGCCATGAGATGAAAAAGGTTGAGCATCGCCGATCTAAAGAGCAGTTAAACACAATTTCCCCAATATCTTCACTGAGGACATTCCAGATGTTGGCATACAGACAACAGCGTGCTGTGTGGGGATAAAAGGTCCGTGGGGAGCAGAATCTCGCTGCTTGGAAAGCCAGGCGAGCCGCCCGTGTTGGGGCTCCTCACTGTAAATCTGCCATCTACCCGAGAAACGGGCTCGATTGACCTGACCTCCTGGATGACTCTGCGCAGGTTCTGGTGTTGGGAGTGGATCACGAACTGCAGGTGAGAGATCTGCTCCTGGAGAAGGGAAATCTCCCCCTGAAGAGCCTGGACACTGGAGATACAAACGGAAAAAGAGAGTCAAGATTCGCTAATGCATCACACAGCTGTTCTTTGTTTTCACAGCTGTGCTGCCAGGTTCTCCTTACTCGCTACCCTGCGACTGGGCATCAAGTGAGTGAGACGCCTAGGGCCCCCTGACACAACACACACTAACGATAAACAGCCATAAAGCAGCCTCTGGTTAGCTCAGATATGAACTTAAATAAGAATATCAATCCATATCAAAGGCTCCTTTCTGGCCTGGCTGGTGTTGCTCAGTGGTTGAGCACCAACCTATGAACTTTGAGGTCACAGTTCAATTCCCGGTCAGGGTACGTGTCCGGGTTTTGGGCTCTATCCCCAGTAGGGGGTGTGCAGAAGGCAGTCAATCAATGACTCTCTCACCATTGATGTTTCTCTCTCTTTCTCTCTCTCCCTACCTCTCTCTGAAATTAATTTTTAAAAACTTATTTTATTTTATTTATTTATAAAAAGCTCTTTTCTGGCCAACTGTGGCTCTCCTCCCACCAGCAGGTAGTTGAGCTGAGTTGTATTGAGCCAGGTGAAGCACCTGCATATCTACTCTGTCTTGCCTATGGGCACCCACAGACCTAGCACCCATCAGAATGCACACATAACTAGAGGGGGATGGCAGGGTTAGAACATGGGGCCAGGAATGGAGACTTTACATATATATCAGAAACCAATTTCCAATGATAAAGAATTAGTATACATTGTGGATTGTCTGGGTTTGCCTTTTTATTATTTTGGCTTCCTATTTTTGGTAATTCTGCTACCTGTAAGTAAGGCAAGGGGAAGGGGGGAGGAAATTAAACTCCAGCTAATATTTTGAGTCTACAGCAACCATTGAAAAAAGATGGGTGAAGTTTGAATTTAGACTATGACTATTTGTACTTCCCTAAAGCTCCATGTAGGTAACTGTAACTGATTATACAGCTTTTGAATATTTCTCTTCTTCCCAGTATTATCTGAGTTAGGAGGCAATGTGCATTGTGGCAAGACCTCCAAGCTTGGGAGCATTGTGAGTTTGAAGTCACACACCTTCCTAAGTTTCAGTATAACAGATAGAATAATTCCTACCTCCTCTACTTTACAAGATTGTATTATAGACTTAAAGGGGGTAGAGTGAATGAGCATTTTACCATGTAATATATGAATATTATTTTCACTTTTTGAGGTTTTACAATTAGTAGCCAACATCCAATGCAATCGCAATTCCAATTTTCACAGCCTCTTCAAATATTACAAAGGTCATGGAAATTCATGGGACACTACAGAACATGTTCTTATCAGGAAAAAAAAAGTCTCCATTTGGTCTCACATCATGTACCAAAAATTGCTTCTCAAACTTAATATGCATTGGGAGATTTTGTTAAATCATTAAGAATCTTGTTAAAATGTGTATTCTGATCCAGGGGGGAGGGGGAGGGCTTGAGATTCTGCCTAGTACAGTAAGGAGGATTAGGCAGTCTCTTTCCTCTAGAATTTAGAAGGAAAATAAACCAGCTGGTGAAAATGGTGGGAAACGTTAATAAATTGTACAGAAAAAACGAAGGAAGAGTGAAAAACGCTCACACCCACAACAGAATGGGAACAACAAAACAATCTCGTTTCTAAAAACCATGTCAGGTGCCCAAGGGTGGCGTCCTGCGTTCCCAGGGATGCACGCTCTTTATGGCCACATCTCCCAATCTTACTGTAACATAAATCACCTAAATTTATTTGTGGTAGCCTAACCAAGTCTGTACTGCTTTAACCAAGAGTCTGATTCATACTGATTTCATTTTCTTGCCTTTCAGCAAAGTGAATACCTCTACACACAGCTCAGAAAAAGCAATAAAATGAATATTTGTGATACTCACAAATCTATAAAAATTATATAAGCCTGGATGTTCGAACACCATTCTATAAACACAAAACATCCATTTCTCTCAAGAGATTTATAAAACCTCTTTAAGAACTTTCTGAAAATTCTTTATAACCACTGTTCATATATAATAGAACTGAAAGAATAGGTCAGTTTCATTTTTTAAATGGTTACATTTTTTTGGCTCAAAGATGGACAAAAACCCTATCATCAATAAAAAGTCACTTTTAAAAGGAAAAAAAAAAATCAAACTCAGACTGTTTGGACTCTTAACGAAAAGCTCACTGTACCACCCAGGATTTCTGCAGCAAGGAAAGCTCTCTATTTAAGAAAAAAAAATAACATAGGCCAATATTTATTTAGAATTAAGTTATAAGCAAATGTAAATAATTTTAAAGACCTATAGATGTCTTCCCTAGCATTTCCTTCAATCTCTACAGGGAAGTGCGGTGCTAAGAAACTCTCTAAAAGTCCACTTTCTGGGGCTATACGCTTGTTCACAGGGAAGAAAATGGGAAAATACATAACTTGGCACCATCCCAGTGTCTTTTGATAAATGTGTGCAGTTGCCAGGGCCAGCCCGGTTCTGGGCTTTGGGATATGTGGCCACAATGAATGTGAACCAGGTAGAAGGCACACCATATGGGAGATGAGAAGAGAAAGAGGTGATAGGAAAGGGAAAGAAAATGAAGGGGGAAAAGTCAAAGACTGAGAGAGCGATATTTGAGCATATATTATTAAACGCGTGAGAATAAGAATTTGTACATTAGATAGATGATCTGAGATCTTGAAATAGGTTTGACTTTGAACATTGCATCATAGCACATAGTGACTATGGTGAGCATCGACTAGAAAAGAAAAGAAAGGGAAGGGCAAACTTCAGGAACTTTCATATGAACTGAGTTATTACATGATATTCCAGAGAATTCTTCTAACAGCAGCTGAGTGGTAATGCAGTTGTGATATCCATAAATCCACCCCCACCGCAGAGCACACTCAGGACTGTGACTGCTTGTGAATGAGTGAAAGGGCGACCGAAGAGCTAAGGAGTTTTTCACAGTCTTTTTGTCACTCCCCACAAAGTTGGGGAACACCACACACCTACCTTACAACTCCCTTGTAGCTGGACAATTAAATGCCTGCTGGAGCACAGACCCATTAACAAAAATCATGACCATGGGGGGAATGAAGGCCTTCATTTAATGAAGACTCACTAAATCTTCGGAAGGATTGACCTCCCACCAGCTTCCCAGGAGCCCAGGAGAACTCCAGCCTCCCGCACTCCCCGGGGGAGGCACACAGCTCTTAGCGGTGGGACTTCTCCCCTCGGCTGCACTTACGGGCCTCCTGCTTCCTTAGCGGGCAGTAGCCTTCTGTCCACTGGCCAACGGACCAGTGGAGAGAAAAGACATCGGGAACTGCTATTACTTAGGAGGTAGATTCCCAAACCTTTTAGCATGGGTAGTGTTGGATTTGAGTTGCAGCAGCTTGTTTTCCAAAGACAGTTTTCTTTCTAGCAGTGTCCTTTTCTCCTAGGAGAAAGTAAGATACAGTTTTTGCTTATTTCTCTGTCTCTCTCAGTCAATATGTGTGCATGTGGTAAGACATTCTTGCAAACTGTTCGCGAAAGGTGCTTCTTGCAATAACAGAAATACATTTTGAGCTGAAGAGTAATTTCATATGGAGCTGTTACAGCCTGGCCCAGTGGAGCCTAGGCAGGCTTTCCCTGGGTGGTTTGCACACAGCTCAACATCACTGTCCTCACTTGCCTGCAGCACTCTCGCCCCTGCTCAGTGACACCTCTCCTGCCTCTCTCTGTCCCCCTCCAAAGGCAACCCTGCTCCTCTCTCTCGGCACTGGCTCTCCCACCACTACAGGTGCTTCTCCATTAGACTGGAGTTGTTGGCATCCAAGGACACTACTGCGCTTCACTTGATACCTACCTGCTCACATGGCGTCTGTCAAGAAGTAGAAAAGCAGTAAATGCATTTTTAGTGAAGGACCAAGGTCACAAATGATAAAGTCACTTCCTAATTAGGATGTAAGAGAAATGACATGGACAAGGAATACGCCTTAATGCCATGATTAAGTCAAACTCTTTCAATCTGAAAGAATAGACAAGTCCACGAAAAACCAAGCTGGGGTGACTGTGTTCTTTTTTATGTTTGATGGTCAGAGATTTTTATTTTATACATTGCTGTCTAAACTCCTTCCTGCTACAGGATTTGTGTGGGTAAAATACAAGGCAAGACTGGCCCATGAAAACATAGAAATGGCTTTGGACGTGCGCTGACCTGGTTTTGAAACTTTGTGCCTGTATAATTTTTGCCAAAGCTTTAATCTCTCTGGGCTTTATTGCTGTTAATAAAAATCAACCCAAACTTGGAAATCAAAGAATATACAGCATGTGGTTTTAATGTCATATTGGGTCACTGTTTAATAGTCCGACCCGAGGATATTTAATTCTCTTGGAGAATTTCCCGGTGTTTGATGTTTATTATTTGTTATCAGAGCCCTGACTCTGAAGTTGAACGTTAATTTGTAGATTTCTGCCTGTTTGAAAAGATAATCTCAAAGGTTATGCATTAATTGCCTTAAAGAATATTAATCAGCTAAGTATCTAACCATGTTATTCTATCCTGTATCCCTTTTTTCAAAATGCCTATAAATAGCCAGTTCCTCAAAATATTTTATTTAAACCAGCTTTACTATTTTACTGGTTCCCTCATTAATTAATGATTTGAATGAAACATCTGACATGTATTTATTCTATATTTGTATGAGTCATGTTTTTGACTCTTTGCACATCTCTAAAACAGGAATAATACTCCTATATTGAAAGTTGGGATGATTGAAGGTAATATATGTGCAAGACCTATGGGCTTCGTTGGTACATATCAGAACCTCTATATAATAATTTGAAGGTGCAAAACACTTCATATCTTATGTGCTGCTATTTTAAAAATTTATACTTTTTCAATTTTTTTTTTTCCTGTAGCATTCTTGTGCATAGAAATTTTTACAGTGTAGCCCTAGTTGTTTTCAAATTACTTCTGAGGAATCACAGATATGCCTGGTAAGGTTCTTGTAATACTTGGGTCATCAAAGAAACACATTGCTGATGATATATTTTGAATTTGTAGGGAGGAAAATGGTGTTTAACAAACATTCTTCATAATGGACTTACTCTTGATTAAAGGATCTTTATAACCAGGGTGCGAGCAGACCAGACAATCGGACATGTCAATATTCTGCCTTGGCGAGGAGTCTTAATGCTTCCTCCTTGACAACCCTGAAAACCACACCACACCAGCCAGCACTTCTGGGGTGGGTGCCTCCTAGAAAGGGAAAGGCGGTCACAGCGCCACCCAGTGGGCGCTGCGCTCTCCCTGAACCACACTCGGGAGTGGACGCGTCCCTGCGCCCTGAGCAGAATGGAGCAGACACCAATTTAAATCACGGCCAAACATTAACATCTAAACGACTCCGGAACCATGGATGTCACTGTTATCTGGCATCAGAGAAGACAGAGACATAACGGAAAGGACTGTAAACCGGTGACTGGACAACTGTGGAATAGCTCCTGTTCGCACTGTCCTCATTTATAAAAGGATGCAAGGAACTAGGTGGTCTCAGGAGCGCCTCTGAGCTCTAAAATTCTAGTAGAGCTGAATCAATGACCTTAGAAAACAAATAATGATGCGGCAGAACTGCACTACTAGCAAAAGGAACATAGGCCGTAGGAAAAGGCTCTTACTGGACGTTTTGCTGGCTCATCGGTGTTCGTGGAATTCGCTCTCACTGTATTCCCGATGCAGTGGGGCAGATGGTGAAGGCCTTAAGCAATGTGTTCATTACCAGACTCACACCACTAATGGCTACTTACTGGTGAATCGAAAAGGAATCCTCCAGGGAGCACCCACTACCAGGGCGGGATTTATCAACCTTCGTTGTGGAGGCTCATTTTTAATTTTTATGTCCTTGTTGAACTCGTCTTTTTCGTATTAATACAAAAGTCCCTGTACCCCCTTCCCTCATCCTGATACACACTTTGCTCCAGAGAAACCCTTCCTCACACCCCGTATTCTCAGTATCTCCTTAGACCAAGAAGCTGTTGCCCAGCTTTACTTCTTAAAGTTTTATTTATTGGCATTTTTGCTCTACAAATATAAAGTATCTTTAAACTAAATGTCTTTAAAAAATAAAAACTCCTGCACATTCACCTTCTACTCCATCCCCACCTACCCAGGCATCTCAACAGACTCCACTCTAAGAAGTCACTGAACAAGTATTCTCGATTTTACTGCCAGGCCTTGGCGAACCCTAAGGCATCTTGTCTACCCACTCTGTCACAGGGCTCCTAGAGACAGCCCACCATGATGGGTCAATGTCAAGACAAATGCTAGGTTGTCACTTCTCAAAAAATTCTGCCAATACCTGAGCCACTTCACCTCTTACGGGGGTACATCCCTTGTCTTCAGTAGGGGTGTCAGAATCCCTAAAGAGCCCTAGGAGAAAGAGTGAATGGAAATCTGGAAAGTTGTCTGAGTCCCACACAACACAGATATACTACACCGTAATCTCCACAAGCAGACCATATCTGGTTCATTCACAAATACTTATCTCGTCTCTAGCTCTGCCTGGTACATGGTAGGTGCTCAAATATTTGTGAAATAAAGTCGAGTGAATATATCCCAGAATTCTGACATAAACTCACATTGAGTACAGATTTCCTGGGGTTTCTAGGAAATGAAAAGTATATTCCACTGTTCTTTTGTTCATTTTCAGGCACTGACATCTGGCCACTAAACCTACCCAGTGTTGCTGGGTTTGAGGTGAATGCAAGTCTAAATTTAAAGGTCAAACTGGTTTATCAAGTTGTTTGGTTAAACAACCCTATTTGCATTCCAGAACTGTCTTTCTTTCCTAAAGGCAAGCATTCTTTGCACTATCTTAGTTTGTCAAACTATTTATTACATGATAACTGCTCTAACACTACAAAATATTCATCCAAATGTTACAACTTGTTCAAAACATCATAATTATAGACTGTCACACTTGGACAAACCAGCTGCTTGAGGACATTCTAGCCCAGTGACTCTGGCTAAAGTGTAAGTAATATTGAGTGACTCACTGCACAACACAGATGTAGCTGTATATTATTATTATTCAATTCAGTTAAGTTTAGGCTTATTTAAGATTACATATTTGGCCAAATACACAGTGTTGTAAATTAAATTCTTGGGACATATTTTAAAATTAATCAAAGCCCCTTTGCCAAGAAACATGAATATTGAAATGGGATGTTTTTGAAGTGACATTTCTAAAATGGCATCAACTCAGACAGACTCAAAAAATAAAACAAGGCTGAGAAGAACAGAGGGAAATTAGGGAATATAATAAATATTAAAATTTTATTAGAAAATATTTACTAGAAGTCAAAGCTGATATTCTTATCTACCCCCACATCAGTTTCAGAGATGCCAGCTTTCTATTAGTTTGTTTTGCTACTTTAAAAAAATGAGTATATCTTGGTTTGTCTGAATGCTAGGTGTCAAGGCACGCATAATTAAATTTATGTGCTCACCTTTTGTATATATTTGGATGGCGGCTACTTAAAGGAACACTGCATGCAACTTTTAATACATTTTTTCTATTATTACTTTCTCTACATTCTCTTTTGAAAGTTCCAATCTGTATAAAGTGTCCTTTCTTAATGTGACCTCTATCTGTTCTAGTGCAGCTACAGGTCTGTACAAACCTACAGTGGATGTGGGTGGACAAAAATGGGTACTTGTTGACTCTAATACATAAAAATGCTATAATTACAGGGATCCATCCACCATATTATTACTAGGAATAGATAGACTTGGTGATCTTTTCCATTGTTTCCATTCACACAGCCTTGCCTGGTTCCACTTTCTAAGTCATACATTTACTGGAAGAAGAAAGTGACAGATAGTGACGACGTCAGTATTTATAGAGAGGTCAGCCCCTAACAGGACAGATCATATTAAATGTATAAGGAAAGAAATGAACATCACCGAGTACTTGCTAAAGTCGTAGGAGCTGCAAAGAGTACATCTGCTTAATGTTATCTTCTTTATTTTTGGTGTTATTTTTTTAATTGCAGGAAGAAACCTGTTAATTCTCCAGGCCCTTACCTTTTCCATCCTCTGGACGAGGCTCTCCAACGCCGTGATTTGATTATGCTTTTTCTCAAGTTTCTCAGCAACTTGATTCAGATTTTCAACCTGTTGTTTCAATTCCTGTTCTTTTTCAAGTTTGTTAACCTTTGGTCAGAAAAACAGTTGTCAGCCTATTAATTTATTAAACCTATACAGTAAACTCTAGCTTTTGCGGACCACGATTTAATGGACTTTGGATTTAACAGACAAAATTTCCAGTCCATATGTCATATGTGAAAATTAAAATGCTTTTAACTAAGAATTGCTTATAATTAAATTAACAGGGTTTTTTTTGTTATTAATTCATTGTTATATTTAGCAAATTTTAGCAAATNTCTGTTAATTTAAAATGCTTTTAACTAAGAATTGCTTATAATTAAATTAACAGGTTTTTTTTGTTATTAATTCATTGTTATATTTAGCAAATTTTAGCAAATAGGCCATACATTAGAAAAAACACTAGAAATTTCCCCAACATAAATAATTACATATCTACAACTAGAGCCTACATATTTCAACCCAAGAGTCACTGCTCATAAACAATGTTTGGTGAATGACCAGCACGTGCTCACACCCCATCACCTGCGGTAACTGGTTCTGCTGTCACGTGGCGTGACTTTCTGCCAGTTTTACCAAGTGGGGCTGATGTTCACACGTGCGCTAAGCCACGCCCCGGCCGTGTGTGTTTGCTTACTCACGGGGACTGCCGAACGCACACATTTACTAGGCCCATTCAGTGTAAATTTAAAATTACTGTGATACATGTAGAAAACTTTTCATACATACTTAATTTTAAGTACACATACGTGTCTACATAAGATTTTTTAACATATGCATTCAGAAAACCTACTTTATCATATAATGGACTTTTGACTTTGATGGACACCCCTTGCCTGAATTAGTCCATTATATAGAGACTTTACTATACAGATATTATCTTCTATAATTTTCTGAGTAACCAAAAATAATATAAAATAATATAATAATAATTCACACTTGTTTAGAATTCATTTTTGAATTCAATGTTTCCTTCCAAATAAACCTGATGGACTACAAGACCACCAAATCAATGGAGAATTAATACTATATGAATATTATCCCTAGAATGTTTACATTTGTTACCATAAAGCACACTACCTGAACTGGTATGAGAAAGAGAGATGCAACTTTAAGAAAAGCAAAATTCTTAACAAAACTTATCTAGAACAAAAATAAAATCTGATATGTTTAAGAAAAAGAGTGCTTTATTTTAATCCCAAAGTGTCATAAAAGCAGAAGGGTTCTCTCCATTGAGCCCAGCATGTAGCAGTTGCCCTGAGGACCAGCGGAGAGCAATCCACCTGCAGCCGTAGGCCACACGTGGGTGCATCTCAGCTGACTTCTAACAGATGCACACTCCCATCTGCATGTGCAGCTAATAGAATCTGAGAGTGCACAGTAGGTGGGCATTCCTGCCAGGCCACTCCTGGCAGGGCTGAGTCCCCTTTGCAGGGACTTGTGCACTCCAGTCCCTGCAGGCTCAGCACTCACAGAGCACTGGGGTCCACACGGCCTGCTTACTCCACTCGGGTTCTTGTCTGCACCCTGCATGCCCGTGAGTTTGGGACCAGCACCTCCACAGGCTGAAGCATGAAGGCATGTCGCCTAGGGGAGGGTTTCCTACTGTGTCCCCACTGTGTTTTCCTAGGGCCTGAGCCGGCAGAAATCCAGGCACCCCACCCCAGTGTGAATGAGCTTCCCAATTTGAAACACACACACACACACACACACACACAGGCACTCACACTATTTTTTTTCTTTTCCAATCCTNCGGCAGAAATCCAGGCACCCCACCTCAGTGTGAATGAGCTTCCCAATTTGAAACACACACACACACACTCACACTATTTTTTTTCTTTTCCAATCCTAGAATACATTCTTCAGATAAACTTTTATTGGCCATAGACTATATACCTCAAATTTTAAAAAATACAAAAAAAATGTGTGTGTGTGTGTGTGTGTGTGTATATATATAGGGGAGGGGGGAATGTAATTTTTTATGGAATTTTGATATGAAAAGAAACTAGTCATTTATTTATACAATAGTCTTGACTCAAAAAGTGTTTTTCAGAGTCGGTATTCCTAATGTGGGATGTGACTTTATTTTATTTTTAGTAGCAAATTTGGATGTAGACTGACAGACATATTTTTAGCAGCTAATTTGGATGTAGACTGACAGTACATATATATATATACACACACACATATATGCGCATATAACTACTTATGTTTTTAATTTACATATTTATATATTAAAATACANCACACACACACACACACACACACATATATATGCATATAACTACTTATGTTTTTAATTTACATATTTATATATTAAAATACAAAATATATAATTTTTATATATCTTAAAATATATATGTACACATACACACATGGTTTTTGTTTGTTCAACCTAAGAAATGTATACTAGGATCAAAAACATTTTGAAACCATTTCACTAGCCCAACTCTTTCATTTTAGAAACAAGGAGATCCAAGTCCAACAAGTTGGAATGACTCAGCCTTGGTCAGCTGCTTCGTGAAAGGCAGGGCCAGAGGAGAAGCCACCGGCCAGGGCAGGGTGGGATGGCCCACCCTGCCACCTGCGCCCTGCAGGGCTCTGGGCAAGGGTGCCAACACGCAGGTGCCGGCTAAGCAGGACTTGGGGGGAGCTGGGCGCAGAGCGGCTTCCTGCCCTTCCCCTTGCTTGTTTCACATCTAACCCCTCAAAGCCACGACAGCTTGGGGGTGAGTCGTCCAAGAGACAAGCTGGAGCTCAGTACCTGGAGGAGGTGCTGGCTGTCCTCATGCTGCTTTCTCACTTCTTCCGACTGTGTTTGGTAGATTTCAAATAACCTCTGGGCCACGTTTCTCAGAGCCGCTGCTCCTGCTTCTCTGGAGGCTTCCAACTAGGGGGGAAAAAGGTCACTGCGCATGTTTTGACATTTACAGTGAAAAAGGCTTAAGGCAGAACAGTGTGAGGGGCATTAAAAACACAGAGGCCGTAATTGTCCTGTTTGCACCCTCATTGTCAATGGGCGGGAGAAAAGACCTTAATTTGTAAGATTAAATGTAAAATGAGAAACCCATATTTAATGGGGCTGTCACGCAGGCGGATGGCCCTGGCCAGGCCAAGCCAAGCTCCGGGAGCACCAGTGCCCTGCGTGTATAGACCGCGCCCTTCAGGCTTCCACGGTGCCCATCAGCTGATAGTCTTATCTGCAAACCTGTTATCCTCTACGTCCATGACAGCACTGAAAGATGCACTGTCCCGAAACAGCAGTGACTGAAATAGACAGGGCTGGGGTGTTGCGGCAATAACGCTAAAGTGTCATGGATTTTTCAAGAATTTAATCTAAAGAAATAATCAAGGCCCAGCAGGATTGGCTCAGTGGTTGAGCGTTGACCTGTGAACCAGGAGGTCAGGGTTTGATTACTGGCCAGGGTTCATGTCCAGGTTGTGGGCTCGATCCCCAGTGGGGGGCATGCAGGAGATAGCCAATCAATGATCAATGACTCTCTTTCAATGACTCTCTTATCATTGATGTTTCTATTTCTCTCCCTCTCCCTTCCACTCTCTGAAATCAATAAAAACATATTTAAAAAAAACCATGAGGATGGCTGCAAAGATTTACCTACCAAGATAGTCATTGTAGGTATACACACACACACATATAGTGTATATATAAAATGTATATTATATATTATATAATACATATAATATAATTACATATATATGTATTATATATAATACATATAATATAATTACATATATATACATGTATTATATATAATACATATAATATATAATGTATAATGTACATACATATGTATATACAATATAATATATATAATTATAATATATGATTAAAAGGAAAATATAAAGCATCCAATAATAGATTAATGAAACAAAATAATAAGACATTTGACCGTGAATGCTCTAATTAATACTTATTAAATACGTGAAGATTTTGGAAAATTTATTGCAGTAAGAACACTTCACACGAGACTGACCCCCTTAACAAATGTTCAAGTGTCCAGTGCAGTGTTAACTAGAAGCACCACTGTGTTGTGCAGCAGATCTCTAGATATTCTTCATCTCACACAACTGAGACTTTATAACTGTTAAACTTTTGTAAGATCTTTTTAACAATAAAAGTGGGCTCCCAAATGAAATAGTGAGGTTTAATTTATGAGGCGTCAAACACTTCTCTACGTATGTCAGCCCTCCGTGTGGATCTACAGGTGTGTGTGCACATCTGCTTTCACGGATCCACGAATCTATCCATTTGGCTCAAAGCCTGGCAATCCAAGTTTGGAGATTCCCCCTTATGGTCATACCTTGATCTTCAATACTTCGTTCTCTTTGTTCATTTCTAAGAGCTGTAGGTCTTTGCTTTTCATTCTTTCCATGAGCAGACTCAGACTGCAACACGAGGGGCCCATTTCAGAGCCAGAGCCATTTTGAATGTTTTGACAGCACTGAAATGAACAAGCATGACAATCACAGACCCGATACAGGCTTTGCCAACAGTAACAATCACTCTGTATTACTTATATCATGGGAGAGTCAGGTCGGCACAAATAAGCCTCCCAAGTCTCCAATATCAATAGGGATTCTCAATGAAGCAGCTGGCCTTTGTATTTGCTTAAAGTTGAATAGATTCTTATATTTAAAAGAGGCAGAAGTACATCTTTTATGCTTTTTATATTCCCCACAGTTTTAAATATATCATTAAGTCCTTTTTAGGAAATAAATAATATCTACAAAGCCTGTTTTTAAAAAAAAAATCTAACTTACAGACATAAACGCATTTTGGTTACTTGTGTTGCATTACAAACTAATGTAATCAGACCTAAGAGTTGCAATACATAATCATCACAGGAATTCTGCTCGCAGCCTGAGTTTTACAAAAACAGCCCATTATCAGAATGTAAGGGGCAATTTATCTTGTACAAAAATAATGATTGTTTATCAAAGAGTTGCAGGAACCTTGTGACCTGACTCGCATCAACTAGAGTTAACAGACTAAGAACAGAGAAGTTTCACAATCTTCCTTGGACCCCTTCTGGTGCCCAGATGTCTGTGGTCTATCAATAAACTCTTGCCATTCCACTTTCCCCTCCCCTTGACATAAAAGAAGCCTGAACTTTGTACATTCAGAAGATGGATTTGAGGTACCATTACGTCTTCCATCTTCTCAGTTGGTGCCTTCTTGGTCAATAAACATCTCCTTACTCTGAACTGTGATGTTTTAGGTTTTGGCATTTCAAAGTATTGGGCATAGGGAGCCCTAGATCATTATGGTTAATTCTCTACTGTGACATTACCCAGATACTGAAGGGGAAGGAGCTAATATTTTGAAGACAGAGGCTCCCACTGCATTCCGTGGTTTGAGGTGGCTGAGCAGAGATACTGGCGACAAAATTCATCTCCATTCCCAGGAAGCTATCTTTATTAAGGTACCCAAAACATCCCTCCCCATTGTTATAGCCAATGGTCAAAGTTCAGTCCTCAATTGACTTGACCCTTGGACACCATTTGACACAGTAGTCCCACACCTCTTTCAGAAACCCTTTCTCTTGTCTTCAGTGACTCCATTCTCTCCTGTTTTTCTTCCTAATCCACTAGTCTCTTTTCTCTGTCTCCTGTGATGATTCTTCCTTTTCTTTCCAACATCTAAATGTTGGAAATCTCAGAACTGAGAACTTAGATTTTTCTCTCATTTCTACCCACACTCACATTCTTGGTGATCTCAAGTTTCAGGAGTTGAAGTACCATCTTTACTCCTCAAATCTCTACCCTGTAGCCTAGATCTTCTATCCCAGACCTCTACCCTCAACTCCAGAATCCGATATCCAGCCCACCCACAAGACACCTCCACTTGGAGGCAACTCAACATAACCAAAAATGAATTTTTTATCTTTCCCATCATTCACAAACATTATCCTTTTTTTTCCATTTCAGAACACTTAGTTTAAGGAAATAACTGAAGCTAGTTGTGTTAGTTTGTGGGGGCTGAGGATGATGGAGACTATGTTTATGCATTATGCCCTATCTTTGGTGTTCTCTGTGACCATACTACCTAGCGGATGACACTGACATTGATGATGTGCACTTGGCTCAGATGAGGTTTAACTTGGCATAATCCAGATAAGGCTAAGTGCAGATTGCTCAATCTTAGGAATATAAGGCTAGTCACAGGGGAGGGGCTTCCTTTAAACTTATCGATTGACTGATCACTCAGTCTAATGGCTTCAACTGCATGTTCATTGTTGTGGCCCAGGTAAGCCTAAAAGCCTGTACCTCTGTCTGTCACTGGGAAATGTTTCTGCCATGTATCTTGACTGGGCTGACATCTTCCCATATACTTTAGATAAATAAGCCCAGTTTAAAATATTCAGGTAAGGTCTGGTCATTCCAATCCGATCCTACTAATGCTATCTGTTGTTAAATATTTCATACATATGTCCATTAACATTTAGATACTGATAAAATATTTAACATTCATCATTCAAAGCTTCAAAGAATAATTTCTATATGGTTTTATGCTTATTTACTGAAGGAATAAAAGTGGTACATTTTGATAAATTCATTACCTTTGCATCCAGTTTGTGCTTTATACTGCTATGTGGAGCTTCATCTTTAAACATTTGATTTCGGATCTTTTCCAGAGTAGTTCGAATCTAGGAGAAAAAAATACTTTATTTTTTTCAAAGGCATTTAATGCCAAATACTTTTTTTTCTCTATACCAGAGGCAGTGTATCTGAATTATCTAGAAAGTAACACATATATACTGATCTCAGATTTAAATAACTACCACCAATCTAACTTGCATTAAGGCTAATATTGTTTAGATTGCAGAAAATAAGCACTTGGTCTTTACAACTCTCTGTTAAACCAAAAATATAATCTGAATGAATATTAATGACAAAATAATTACTATTTAGTAATTAGTATTTAATTCAATCTTGTTCTGCTTTTCTATATAGTAATTTAGTACTAATTTACTACTTAGTAATTACTATAAAACAATTACTATTTAGTAACCACTACAAAATAATTACTAATAATTACTACAAAATAATTACTATACAGTAATTACTAGAGAATACTATTTAGTAATTATGAGGGGATAATTACTAAGTGGAGATCACACAAATTTATGTATGAACTATAAGCCCTGTGTCTTGGTGACCTATGGAACTGCAAGACACTCAAAGATGAATTAACAGATCTGAATGTTACAAACCATCTTTGTCCAAATGTTTCCATCTGTTCTAAGAAACAGTTCATACAAATATATGTTCTGTTACCCATTACCATTGGATTCTTATAAGATTTCATATTTTTCATGAAGGAACATGTCAATAGGCAGTCACTGGCAGATAGCAACCCTGAACTGGGAGATGAAACAAGGTAAGGAGAGGCAGGAGCTCAGCAGGAAATGTGAACACCTACCAGGGAACACGGTCCCAAGGCTCCTGAAACAGCCAAGGAGAAATATAGCCAGCAGGAAGTGTGCTGGGGAACAGTGTGGGGAAAAGCAAGCCCTGATGGGCGTCCGTAGCCCTGGGCTCATGATGCAGCTTCACTCTAAGTGTGAGAACAGAGGGTCACATCCTCAAGACGACACTAAACGCACGTTCAGACTTCAGCTGTCAAGGCTGCTGCCCAACTCGGTGTGCTCGTCCTCTCACGTTCTCAGAGGGAGAGGCAAAGCCTACTCGTCTGAATTCGCCTTTATTTTCATAATCACATCACGCCAACATGTTGTCTGGTGCCCACATACCGTTTTCACGTACTCGGTTTCCTCAATAATGTGAGCTGACGTGGACTCATACGAGGCAGGATTATCTTCTACGTTACCCCTCGAGGGAAGCTCTGTGGCCACTGTTACTGTTGTCATGGTGAATTCTGGCTTTAGGGAAACATAAATCGGTTAGACAAACTAACTTCTTTGATGATGTAATTATATGGTTTGTAAACTGTACTAGCACTGTAATCAAATACTGTATAGTAGAAAATATAAACTATTGACATCTGTATATGGTAAACCCTCAATTTTGTGGACCTTGGTTTAATGGACTTCAGATTTAACGGACAAAATTTCCTATTTGTAGGTCATATGTGAAAATTAACACCCTGTTAATTTTAAAATGCTTTTAACCAAGACTTGCTTATAATTAAATTAACAGGTTTTTTTGTTGTTGTTTTTTATTAATTCATTGTTATTTTTAACAAATTTTAGCAAATAGAACATATGTTGGAAAAAACACTAGTAATTTCACCAACATTAATAAATATACATATCTACAACTATAGTCTACATATTTAAATCCAAGAGTCACTGCTTATAAATATTGTTCAGCAAATAATTAGCTCAGCAAAGCAATCTTAAACTACACTTAGGAATAATATTGTTGGTAGAAATACTGGTATTGCTATTTACTAGTATATGTGCATGCATGCATATGCCTGACTCACCCACATGAATGCATAATAAAGTCAAGAAGGCATTGCCTTAACATCATTAAGAACCAAGATTTTTAGTGTAAAGAAAAAAATAAACAAATCAGAACCAAAAAAGTTTCATAAAAACCTTGTAATCTGAACTGAAATTATGAGTATAAAATAATGACTTTTTTTCCTTTAAAAAAGTATATTCTAAATCTAACCACTGAAAAATAGCAGTTAACGCTCCTAGTGCCCATACTATGGTCTCAGTATACTATTTTCTACTAAAAAGAAACCAGGGCCTCTTGAGAGATCCAGGTCTGGGGCAAGAAATATATAAGGTGAGGTATCTTGTCATGCCAGAAAGCAAAAAAGTCATCAAATACTACTTGAATAAAACACAGAAACCAGCCTAAAGAGGGATGGCTGTGAGAAACTGAAACACAGCAAAAAATTTTAAATTCCTGAAATTAGGATGTCAGAGAAACACCACCACCAACACCACCACCACCAATCCTCGTTGTCCAACTCGATGGAGATAGGCCGCCACTATATTAAAGATTAGCCTAAAAAGGGGAGAGGGGGGTGCCCACAAGCATTTATCTTGCCTTTGCTGTATGAACTGTATTTCATGGTAACCAAATAACTGATGAGGGAAATTTTTTAAAAGGATTCCTGCTAACATATGTGAGAGACTGGTAGAATTAGAAAGCTTACATTTTACAACCCCCTATGAAATAACGGATCTAAGCAACACTTATTGACTGGTACTAATACACGAGGTGTGAGGTTGGTGAGGGATATGTTACCCTGAGGGACCCCACTAATCAATATTAACCCAAGTAAAAAAGAGACAGCAGGCAATTTGCCCTCCAGATGTGGTTCAATCCCAAGTAGAAAGCATCACCTATGAAATATTTTTTTAAAAAAATGAGCCTGAATCTAATCAAGCTTCTATATCTAACAACAACCAATATCTGGACAAGAGGAAAATGTTTAACGACACTACTAGGGCAAAGGCTGCAATCAGCCAAATCTAGATTAGATTAAGTATTATGGGACAAACAACTAGTTCCTTCTAAAACTAACTGTATAAAGAAAGATGAGGCAAAAAGAAATTGCTCTAAATTAAGAGTCTTAAGAGACACATGACCAAATGTAATGTATGAATCTTCTTTGGTTCCTGATTCAAACAAACCAGCTCTATAAAGACACTTTTGAGACAACTGGGGAAATTTTAACAGTGGCTGGAAAATAGATGATGTTAGAGAATCACTGTATAGGTGTGATAATGAATTTCTGACATGCTTTAAATAAAGATCTTATCTATTAGTCATACATTCTGAAGTGTTTTCAGGTGAAATAATATTACATTTGGAATTGCTTTAAAATACTCTAATCCAGAGGGGGAAAATGGGATGGGGTAAAGATGAAAGAAGTTTGGGCAAAATGCAAGGCATTGTTAAAGCTGGGCAGACAGGGTTCATTACGCTCCTCTACCTATTTTGTTTCTCTGGGAAATTGCCTTAATAAATAGTAAAGAACTAAAAATTAAAATAGAAAGTCTTGTGAGGTAGGATTATTAATCTCATTTTACCGATAAAGAAGCCAAGACTCCCATAGGTGATGATAACTTACCCAATATCAAAGTAAAACTAACAGAGGTGAAACTCAAACTTTTATCTTTTAGACACCAAGTTCAAGAGTCTTTCCATCACATTAAGGCCGGCTTCCCTAGTGAGAAAAAACAACAAACAACAATATTTAAAATTTAGCAACAGCCTATGCGGTTAAAACACAAAGAATTTTCATACTTGCTAGCATCAGTTTACAACTAGCTAGCTTCTGGGGATAGCTCAGAGTTTTGCATTTATCCTTTAATCTTGGATGAAACTGACAGACTATGCCAAGAATTTTCCATTTTATTCTAAATCTTCTTAGGCAGCCACGATGAGATGGCTTCTATTTGTTTAGGCCGAAGCAGATTTGGCAGCTGCAACTCTGCTGTTACAGAAAGTGAGTGGAAATACTTCTGTTGCTGGGTCCTCTTAAATCTCTTCTGGGATTAAGGTCTTGGTCCAAAACAACATTTAAATGCTCAAAGTACAAAATAAAATAACAAAATATAAACAGACTCCTAGATACAGAGAATAGACTGATAGCTGTCAGAGGGGAGGGGGGTTGGGTGAAAAAAGTGAAGCGATTAAGCAAAGCAAACAAACAAATAAAAAAACCCCTCATAGACACCGACGACGACAGTATGATCATTCCTAGAGGGAAAGGGGGTGGGAGGAGAGGAGAGGGGAAAGGGGGAATAAATGGTGATAGAAGGAGACTTGACTTTGGGTGGTGAACACACTATACAGTATACAGATGATGTGTTATAGAATAGTACACCTGAAACCTATATAATTTTATTAACCAATGTCACCCCAATAAATACAATAAAAAAACTAGAAATGCCCATAGAGACAACCAGCAATGTGTCTGGAAACCAGAGGTGGAGTGGTCAGGCTAGAGTGGTGGTCAGCAAACCAGGGCCCATGAGCCAGAGCTGGCTTCCTGTCTTTTTGGACAGCCTATGACCTAAGAATGGTTCTTAAATTCCAATCTTTCAAAAAAACCCCAAAGAAAAACATTTGATGACACATGAAAATTACATGAAGTTTCAATTTAGTGTCCCTAAATCAAGCTTTACTGTAATCGTGGCCATTCGTTTACATAGAGTCTATGCTGCTTTAGCACTACAAACAGCAGAACTGAGTATGACAGAGAAAATATGTGACAAGCAATGTTTAATATATTAACTGTCATCTGCTCCTTGACAGAAAAATCCTAGGTTAGGGATTGGCAGGGGGTGGGAGCAAAACCAGTGGGAAAACAGAGGCAAGCAAAACATCAGTTTGGTCTGAGTTGGTTTTGGTTCCCTAGTTCACTCCCCCTTGATTTATATCCCCACTTGATGGATTTACCACCTTCTTTTTTCTTTTTACTATGTTATACATTGTGTACAAGAACAAATGATAACAGGCATTTCACCATAGGAAGTAATCACTCTTAAGAATGGATCCCACTGATTCCTCTGTCTTTCATAATTTGAAAATCACAATGGGCCTCATGTTATACACGCAAGAACATCTTTTCTTTTGTGTTATTTATTCTTAATATCAAGAAATGCAGCTCCTTAATCACGGGTATTTCCACTCACTGTTGGGCCATCTTGAACAAGTTCCATAAAATCCTAGCCTCATCTTACATATCTGTAAAATAGGAGTGAAAACACCTAGGGTTGTAAAAACAAAGATTTTTTTAATCCCTGTTTGTAGAAGGTGCTCAATGGACAGCAACTGCTGATATTGCTGCTCCTATTATTTTATATTATTGATGACCACAGAAGATTAGCAGCTGGTAACAGAGAGGGCAGTTCATGCCTAGCTGGTTGCAAGGTTTATATCCAACTCTATTCATATAAAATCAAATTCCATTTCTTTTTTTGGTTCACAAACTTTTGCAACCACAGTCCTTGATTTGTATAAAGAAACCCAAGGGGAACTTAAGCCCGCAAAGTCCAATTGCCATATGGCATTACCATCCTGGGGAAAATCCATCTTAGCATTTTATTTCTGCCAGAAGTAGATTAGGCAGATAAAATTTTCAACATAAAACACAATCAGTTAATTAAAGTGAGAAACGAATTTTATTTGTTTTCTGCTAGGGTGGATTGAAGGCAGCTTACAAGTGGCATCGCTCCAAGAGGTGTTATTTCCTAGATCAGGGCTGTGCAGGCAGGGCTCCCAGGGGGAAGGGGAGGTGCTGAGCGGACTGGGCTTTGTCGTCTCCACTTGAACCAAAGCAGCTCTGCTTTGTTCATTCTCACACTGAATTTTTCCATGAGGCTTTCTATAAAGTAAGAGCTTTCTACAGAGAAAGGGTATGGAGCGAGATTATCTAGTTTCATGGCCTGACCCTGCCACTCTGTAGATGTGTGTCCTTGAACAAGTTCCTTAACCTCTCTGTGCCTCTGTTTCCTTATTAGTGAAATTCAGATAATAGTAATAACATTAATAATTAATAATATAAATAATAAACCAGAAATTTAAAATGGAATTGTTTGAGTTAACATTTCTCAAGCACTTATAATAGTGCCTAGTACATAATAAATGATTTGTACGTGTTCATCCTATGAGTAAACAAAATATGAAATTATTAGTGGTAGAGTAGAACCAGGTAATATTTTAAACAGTCTGCAGATTGAACTGGGCTATAAAAAGATCTGTTTGGGGGAATTTAAAGACTAGCAAGTCCATGGTATTGGTTCTTTCTTGAGAAAGCATCTATAATCCATCAACACCCCAACTGATTATCTTATCATCTAATGAATAGTTTACAGTTTATAAAGCAATTCATATATATTATTGTGAATTGTGATAAAGCAACACATCACTGGTCACCCAGAATAATGTGATGGGGCCTACTTCTCTGTTTAATGACAGTGGGATGGTTTACCTATTATACAATCAACATGCATAAGGCACTGTTATGGGTTGAATTGTCCCCTCTCCCATTCACATGTTGAAGTCCTAGCCCTCAGTGCGTTAGGAGGTGACCTTATTTGAAAATAGGGTCACTATAGATGTAATATGTTAAGATGATGTCATACTGGGGTAGGGTGGACCTCTAATCACATATGGCTGGTGTCTTCATAAAAAGGGGAAATGGAGGCAGCAATCAAGGTGATCCTTCTACAAGCCAAAGAATGCCCCAAATTGCCAGAGAACCATCAGAAGCTGGACCATGAGATTCTCCCTCAAAGCCCTGAGAAGGAACCAACCCTGCCAACACTTACCTTGAACTTCCAGCCTCCAGAACTGTGAGACAAGAAATGACTATGTTTAAGCTACTGTTTGCAGCTTTGTCATAGCAGCCCTAGGACACCGGTGCAGGCACTGTTTAGATCTAGAGATTCCAACAAAGGTGTTTCTTTCCTTAACCCTTAATTCAGTCATTCATATGTTAAATATTTATTGAATAAAGCTGTGTTAAGAGCTGTGGCCACAGAAGTGAGCCAGAGACCCTGCCTTCATGGGACTTTTAGTACAGAGTGGGAGACACACATTAAACAAATCGGTAAGTACACAGGGAGCATAGTGAGAGGCGATAACAAGTGTCCTGAAGAAAAGCAGAGCAGGGAACAGAATAATAGGAGGTGTCATGTGGTAAGGGAAGGCCAATCTGAAGAAGTGGCATTTAAGCAACAGGCTTGAATAAAAGAAGTGAAGCGCTGTGGCCATCTGGGAGAAGATTCCAGGCAAAGCGGGGAGGAAAGAACAGAGGCTGGGAGTTGCTTCAAGTCATAGTCTGCAGGCAAGGAACCCAATGTAGCATATTATGTTTTTCTTCTCCTTTTAATGTACCAGGGATTTTTAAAAAATTGCCTGAAACTCAAGACTTCCAATCTGCCTAAAGAGCTGTCTCCACAGCCACAGAAAACAGGTCTCGGCCTGGCTGCTAAGGCTCCCTCGGGGTTGAAGGAAAGGCTGGGTACAGCGAAGTCAAGGCAAATGCAACGGACTCCAGGTGAGCCCAGGGAAGGGCCCACAAGGCCCAGGTGACGGCACAGCAGTCTTCTCAATTCATTTCCGTGGGAGCTGGTTGGAGAGCACCATGGTGCATGCTTGGCATGTTTTGGCCACTCAGCACTCGAATCTCCTTCCCAGAACTACGGAATCGCCATCTGTATGAGTCTACAGCACCTAGACCCAGCCATCCGAGTACTGTCACCTGGAAATGCCAGTAAGGGACTGGCTGTCGGGCTCCTGGAAGCTGGAGGTGGTGAAAACTTGTTACTCTTCTGGGGCAGGAAGGGGGCTGGCACAGGGCAGTGCTTTGCGTGCAGGCAGGAATGCCAGTGGAGGTATCCAGTGACCAGTGGCAATGCCAGGAGGACTTTATTCTGCTCTTGTTACAGCCTGATCTTTGGGAGTTTTTGCCATTAATTCTGGGTGCTGCTCTATATCCTTCCAGTAAGTTCCTTTTCTGCCTAAGTTAGCCAGAATCACTTACTCAGGTTTACAACCAAGATCCCCGATTGGTTGGGACAGTGTTTCTGAGTTTTCAGTTTCCCAGGTCTGAGCTAATAATATTGAATATCGTTTCATCGTTCTTGATTACTATTATATAGAGCTTAGATATTAGAAACTGAAAAAGTTAGTTACCATAAAAGTGCTACAAGGGTATTTAGGTTATATAAGGGGGAAGAAGCTAACATATCTCCAAACCCTTGAAGAGACCATCTCCTGAATATTAAAGAGCATACCTGTTCTGCATCCACATTACACAGCACAATGGTGACATCCAGTGTCAGCTAGCTAAATCTCATGTGACTGTGCAATTTACCTGAAAAGTGATGCACAGCATATCAAAAGACATGTTAACACTGAGCCCAAGTAATTACAGTTTTCAAGTAATAACCTAAGATTTTAAAAGCAGAATTAATTTTATTCATTTGCAAATGCTGCTTATTTGTATATACACATATATTTACCTCATAGCCAATGCTATACAAAACTCTTAGATATGAAATAAAAGCAATTTCCTTTTGAGGGGAAAAAGATTGAAATATTGCTACAAACACAATATATAAATATAGACAATTGACAAAGTACTGTGTCATTTACCAAGAAATCATTTTCCATATACTCTCAAAATTAATCATTACAAAACACTGTTTATAG